TTCCTAAATTACAAAATGAAGTTGGTTTGAGTCGCTATGTCTTAACCTTGCTTATATATCTGGTAATATCACTGAGCAGGAAGCATCTATTTTTTTTATGGTGCCACTGGCAGACATTTTCAAAAAGCACATCAGAAGAGGGATTTTAAAAAGCCGGCCAATTTGTTTCTCTTCCCATGAAAATAATTTCCCTTTCCCTTTAAATGTTGGTGAAACGTTTCAATGTGAGTGAAAGCACTAAAGGGGGGGGGCATTCTTAATTTGGTCCAGGTCTAATAGATGCACAGTTTACATTCTCAAGCATGCCCTCTATTTTCCCCACAGCAATGGGGAGGTCCAAAAAATATCTACATGGTGCCTAGGGAACAACTTGCACCTTAATAACAGCAAGACAAAGGAGATGGTGTTGGACTTTCGGAGGAAGAGAGGAGAATCTCAGTGAAGACCTTACTTGGAAAATAAATACAACCCAGGTGGTTAAGAAAGCCCAACAGAGACTCCATCTCCTCAGAGTATTGCGGAAGAACGATGCCAATCAACATCTGATGATCTCCTTCTACCAGTCAACAATAGAAAGTGTCCTTTCATACTGCATCATGGTGTGGTACGCTGGTTTGACATCATCTGATAGGAAGTGCCTACAGAAGGTGGTGGATACAGCACAAGATATTATGGGCTGTCCCGTGAATCCGCTGGATGAAATAGCAGAAGAACTTTGCCTCAGGAGAGTGAGGAAAATTCTCAGGGTGGCCAGCACTTTCTTGATCTCCTGCTCTCAGGCAGAAGATATAGAAGCATGATTAGTCACACCAACAGGGTAAAGAACAGCTTCTATTTGTGGGCTGTTAGGCTGCTGAATGAAAAGATAACAACAGGGCAACTGACTTTCGGGTTTGGTAGGTGTGCATCAGTAAACGCAGGGGAATTAAGACTAATACAGGCTGAGTGGGGGGGTGCTCATGTAATCTCTACTGTATTACAAGTTGAACAAGTGAAAATAAAGTATTCCAATTTCAATTTCAATTCCAATTCAGTTTTCAAGACCTTGCAAACAAAATGTTGCAGCATCGAAGGGCCGTGTTCAGCAATTCCAGCCCACTCTATTCCATATATGCCCTCCCAATCCAGTGGTTTTCCATTTTTCCTCCCAAACTGTCAGTGAATATTCCACAGTCACCAAGCACTCTCAGTTTAATCAGGTTTGTTTAGTTTTATTCTCTCTGAAGATTTTGTACTTTGTAAAACTTTGAGGTTCCCCCCAAAGTCCTGAGATACTTATTGCCTTTTTGGCTACATAAATGAAAATCTTCCCCCCCCCAATTATAATATATATATAGATTATATATATATATATAATATATTTTTAGGAATACTCTATATGAATATATGCTGCATGGGAAGCAGATTTTAAAAAGGAAACACACTGCAATTTAAGAGTTACAATGAAAGCAAAGTGCTGTCAATTAAAAACACACACCACACATAAACACCAGATTAACCATAGTGGATGAAGGTTACAGCAAAAGATATTACTGATTTCTCCTATTATTCAGCATATAGTGCAATATATGGATTTATAGATAATCAAAGTTAGGATAACATTTCACGGAACTCCTCACTTTTTTTGTTTCTCCTCATTTAAAATCTTGCTCACAAACCTGCCCAATATCCCATCCAATTGTTATATTTGGCTTCTGCATTATTCGATTTAATGGGTACACAAACAGGCAGGTCATCCTTATACTTTTGGTTGGCGGAAATATAAATAAAAGAAGGGGAAAGGGAAATGAGATTGGTTGATATTAATGGTCCCTTGTTTTTGTTTTTATTTAAAGAAGTTAGTAAAAACAGAAATGTAGCTGAGGCAATAAATACACTTCCAACTTTTAAAATATCTCTATATTTTAAACTTGAAGCTGTAAAAGTCCTGTCTGTCCATTTGATTGTACTCATTAAGGCTCCTTTAATTAACAGTATAGGAAATTAAACACAAAGTAAGACCCATAAAAATTAAACTGAAAAAGCATGTGGAATTAGGAGTTTGCATTTACCATCCCCGCAGGCTTGAAAGCTTGAAAGTCATGGAAAAGGTTGATTAGAAGAGTCGGGAAAACTAGACGCCTTCTTCCCTAAACACTCACATGACAGCTATCTCCTAGCATTCAGCATACATTGCAGCTCAATATTACACACAGATTTATAGTTTCCCTGCAGTTTCCTCTCTCTGCTTCTGCTATATGAATTCTCAAGCCCCACAGCCCCACTCCAGTAATTACGTCCAAATAAAGGAAAGGGAATGAAAGACGAGAAAGAGGTTAAACAGTTTTACACTATCCTGAGCAAGCTTGGTGCCAAATTGGTGAGCTGCTGGAGTTTCAAATGCACATTACTGCAGGAGTTTGATTTAAAGATTGCTGACAGTTTTAACATTCTGCACTTGAATGTACTGTTCGTGGATACAAAAAAAAATGTGAATCTCTTACACAGTTAAATCAAAATAATGTTCAGTACAACTAAATAAAAATAGCTGGGCTGTGGAATTCTAAGAAATTATAAACAAGAGTCCAACTCCTTCATATCAACACATAATTCAGGCGCTAGAGGTGAACCTTAAGGTTTCACTGGCATCTAGGATCATTGGGATGTTGTTTTATTTAAATGGGACTTCAGAAAATTTCACTCCTAGGGCTACATTTAGTAGGCATAAACCTACTAAAGAGCAGTACTTAATTATTTGTTTTCAAGCAGTGTTACAACCAATACTTTAGCTAATTAATGTTCTCCTCTGCACCACTTGGCAAAAATGAACAAAAAACGTGCTCTTATCTACTGCTAGCTATGCTCCCCACCTTTACGTAAATACAAAGGGAGATAAATTATACAAACATACCATTTTAAACATTTCTAAGCCATCCTTCAACAAAGGACAATTCATAAAACAATATATAACACAAGAATCAAAATAAAATGTTCCTAACAACCTATGAACGGATTGTGCATTTCGATATTAGCAATGGATATTATTATTTTGCTTACAATCTCACACACACTTTTTTCAGTGATGACTAATAAAGCTGATCCATGGCTTTCAATAGATTGACATAAAATAAAGTATGGGTGGCCTCTTACTTGAGGACAGGGAGCTGACTTTCCAGACTGAAGGATGCTGCCGATGCAAGTATTGTGTTTGCCTAAATTCATCATTTCATATTTCAAAGGCAAAATGGAGGAGAGGCTGAAAACATAAAAGGCTGCATTTACACAACACACTAAACCATGGTTCAGTGGTGCTAAGTCCATCCACAAGAAAGAGCCCAAACAAAGCCTGGGACTCATATACTCCTCCCACAAGGCATGAGAAGGCAGAGGATCCCACAGGGAAAGGCAGGAAGAGCTTGTACTGAGCTACTAGTCCTGAGAAGGGTTAGAAATGAACTCTGCCTTTGGTCAACTCCCCCTTTTGGAAAAGTGGAATTTCTAGAGAGTAAATCCTCTGGCCTGAATTTCTAGAGAGTAAATCCTCTGGCCTGGGTGGTTTTCCTGCACTTCACAGCCTCCCACTTAGTGTGCTCCTCACGCTACTGAACTGGTGAGACAGTGTGGGAGGCACTTCATTTTGAAGGCTCAGGAAACCAAAAACTCGGTCAGCCTAGGTGTCCTGGCCACTGCAGGACTATGGGGTCTTGAAAAGGGAGAGGCACGTGAGCCTCAGGCTTTGCCCAGGCTCCTCCCTGCTCATTCACGCAGTGCTAAACTGTGGTTCCACGTTATATGTGAGCTAGGTGAATTATGTTTGTATGTCTTATATATATTTATATAAGAGAAGAGTAAACTGAAATGAACTGGGAGTGTAGGTGAAATCCATTGATTTCAGTGGATTTATGCTTGACCAACATAATTTACATCACATTTCCAGGGCAAGCTGTCATATTAGTTCAATCCCTATTCTATAAATGCCTCCAGTATTCAAAATTTAAGTTATTTCTAGTAGTAAACACATTCTATTGAAGAAAGAAACAAAAAAACGAATGCATAAAAATTTAAGTTGTAGCAGTGTGGGAGACATTTAACAAAAATTTGCAACGCTACAAATAATTTAAAAATCACCTGGCCAAGATTCAGTACTCCAAATAACTTCTGAAACATGTATAATTACACCATACAGGAAACTAGCAAGGTCTGCTGCTTTTAATTCTGTGATTATAATGGAATAATGGGCATATATGTTCAAGGGACTATGATGTCAGTGCTCATTTCAGCCAGCATTACAATAATTTGAATGCTCTTATTTTTTAAAATTATGATATTAAGAGTTTTTTTCTGACTTCATTTTGCAAAGTCCTCATAGTGTGCCTTTTTTAAAGGTGAGGGCAAAGATCTCCACTACACTGATAATACACTGAATAGGGGGCTGCTTTAAAAAGAGAAGGACTGGGTCATATTTCTATGGCTTGGATTGACACAAAAAGATGACCCAGGTCTCCTGATTTTGGGCGGGGGGAGGAACTTTGATCATTACTACAGTCGTACCCTGGTTTTTGAACAACCTAGTTCTCGAATGTTTTGGCTCCCAAACGACTGAAACCTGGAAGTGACTGTTCCAGACGGTTTCTGAACGTTCTTTTGGAAGCCAAATGTTCGGCGGGGCTTCCGATTGGCTGCAGGAGCTTCCTGCAGCCAATCGTAAGCCGTGCTTTTGTTTTCGAACATTTTGGAGGTCGAACGGTCTTCCACAATGGATTTCGTTCAACTTCCAAGGTGCAACTGTATATTAATCCAGGGTGCATTGGGGAGAACTCTACCATCTCGAGATTAAGATTTTTGTGATCAGTCCCTGACATTTTAAAATGCCTCTGTACCCAATACACACAGTCTTTTTAAAAAACAAACAAACAAACAAACAAACAAACAAACAAACCCTAACAGCATTATAACAACCACACAGCATTTAGAAGTTTTAATAACTTCTTAATTATTTTCAATATTCAAGTTAATGTTACCTTTCTTCGTCGGATACCAAAGGGGGTAAAAGCAATTCCTAACACTTCTTTTCTGTGCTGCTGAAAAGAAAAGAAAAGACTTGTGTTTAGTGATCTTCTCGAACGTCTTTCATTTTCATAACATTCAAGTGACTAAGCATTTAGCTGTAAGTAGGCACCTTATTGTGTATATACATCAACATATAGCCATCTGTTTAAATAAGACAAAACACCCAAACATTCACAGTTACAGTGCAGGTGATAAGCACGCAAGTATGACACTAATAGTCACCATACTGCCTTTATATTTTTTTTTGGGGGGGGGAGAAATTACATATGGCATCACAATATGGAAGTGTCAATAGATCCATGGATAAAATTGCCACTCATTTTTCAGTAAAAGTGAGGTTTCTTTCTCTATTAAGAACAAAAGTAATTGCCTGCAATAATGAACATTTTACCACTCTCTCTTAGCCTAGAGATGCATTTATGAGGAATGTTGCAAGTAAATACTTTTTAATAATTTAGGAGCTAAAAATTGCACATTTTAAAAAAATCTATTTTAAAAAAACCAAGTGTCTAATGCTTTTAGAATTTCTGTAAGTTACAAATGGCTTTGTATTAACTGGTGAAACTTCAGAAATGTCTCAAGTGTGAACTTAAGAAGTTATTAGAAGTTTTTTTTCTTTCATTCCGTAAGGATTATTATTTTAAAAGCACACAGCCAAAAGTAAAAGGGTAAAATTATTATTTTTTAACTTTATTCTTTTGGAACTTACTTTCAGATAAAATTAATACAGTCCTAATATATAAATTATGTTTAAAGTAAGTCCTAAGTCAAGTCTATATAAAAGAGATTTTGCAGTGAGAAGCTTAGAATTACTCAGTAAAAACTGTTTTAGGTGTGCCATGGGTCCTGTTTGTGCTGAGTGGCTTTTTAAACAAGTTTTTTACTTTGAAAAGCAGACCCCGTATCATCACAAACTACTTGTGAAACTCCTCAGTTTCAAAAATGTTTGCCATGCAGCATAGAAAAATGCTCTTTGAGGAACACAAGTTGAACCCTTCCTTGGACACATTGTGAAATAACTGTGCCATTCTTTGGATCCAGACCTGTAGCTTTTCCAAGAAACTCCATTTAACTATTAGGCTCACAACTAATCCTTAAGTGGGAGGGTGGCCCCATCCAAAACATCTAACTCTGGAGTCATTACAATCCTCACCATGAATACCTTCTTTCTGCCCAGGCTGAACTTGAATGTGTTCTCTTCATCCAGCACAAAACTGCCTGAATAAACACATCCAGGCAATCTATTTACATACCACGCAACTGTCCTGTTTTAAGCGGAACATCCCGAATTTACAGAAACACACACCCAGCTCCTGATTCCATCCTGGGATGTCCCATTTTGGCTCCTGCGGAACCAAAAGACACACTTTTTTTTGGTGCTATATTCTTGCCTTCCGGAAGCAGCACTAGCTTCCGGATGGGGCAGGGTTGAGCCCAGAGGGAGGGAGCCAAGAGAGAGGAGATGGGGCCTGAGTGAGAGGGGATGGGCTTAAGTCGAGGTCATGTCCTGATTTGCCTTACTGGAATGTTGGAGGGTATGCATTTGCCACACCTGGATTGGAGGAAGTGGAAATATGTTCACTGTGACACTGAACTACAGATTTCTGATGATCTCTCTCAGCAATTTGACGAACAGCTTGGAAGACAAGACTAAGGCTGCATTCAGACATGGGCTTTGTTGTGTTGGGTTTATTGGTTATAATGCTAGCAGTTCCGCCCCAATTTCTAGCACGCCTTTTACATAGCACTACCTTGGTGTAATGGAACTGTGGCTTTCTTAATCAATATACTGACATGTCACACTAAAATTTAAATGGTGGGAAAGGACTCTATGCCTTTATAGTCCTCCAAATTTCATAAATGTAAACTGTCACAATTTTCTAAGGTAATGCAGTTGCAAAATGTATTTTTTCCCGGGAAACAAGGAACGCAGAAATGGGTGCTAAACTTCCACTAGATTCTATGAGATTTCCAGAAACGGCCTTTGCATCATGTGAAAGATCCCATAAAATGCAAAAATGAACAGATAAAGAAACGAACTTAAGAACGAAATGCTGTCTGAATGCAGTCAAACCATGAAGCATTAAATATATCTATTCCCATAAGAGAGGAGCATGACCACTGCAGCTGAGTGATCCCAACCCTAACTCACAGACTTAGAATGATACCATGGTTAATGGTATTGAGGTCCAAAAGAAGGTCACATTTCCCTGTCATTTAAGGCAGTCTTTTCAGCTCCAAACCCAGGATGGAAAGCATAGAGCTTTTAATTCAAAACATGTATACAGATACACAATTTCAACATTATGCTCACTCAACTATATAACAGTTAGAAAATGTAATATAAATATATGTCTGAAGCATTCAGATGTTTAACTTCAAAAAGTCTGAGATAGCTGATCATATCTAAATGGTGTCACCATGTACATATAGATGTATATTTAGATGTTAACCAAAATATTAGCTAACAAAAAAATATGATTTTTTACTAAAGTAAGCAATACCAAGGCACACATACGGAAAAACAAAAAAATGTTTACACATGCACCAGTCACAAGTTAGAGTAAACTTAACTTCAGAGAATTATTCTAGGCTCATCCAAAGGCTTGCAAAAGCCCAGCTTATCTTGCTCACTCCTTTCTTTGGATAACTGATAGCTGCCCCCTTTTCACTTGACAAAGTATCCTGGAAACTCCCTCAATTTCAAATGCGTTTTCTCATGGGACACTGGAATACTGGGAAAATGTAAATGCATAGTGCAGATGGAGCCCTAGCGTTTCTTTAACACAAACGGAACCAACAGGCTAAATGGCACTTAAAAAAACAACACACCAAATAAAAACTTGTCTGGTTTTCTTCTCATATTTTTTTTTTCATTTACTACTGCCAAAAATAAGGTTGAGTGGCGTAATTAAATGGCAAGTACTTCTGACCTTTACTTGCTACACTGATAAAAAGTTTTTTCAGCATACTGCAATTTGACCAAGAGAAATGGAGATAAGCTTAACCTTTCACTTCAAGTACTAATGTGTTATTTAAATTTGCCCTAGATATAAGTGAGATGCCACTATGGTTGTAAAGAGGTAGTTACAACTTTTTCTCTCCCCCATCACCATCCCTACCAAGCTTTATTAGAAGGCATAAAGAAGAGCACAATATGGTTCATATATCGAAATATTATACACACACACACACACCTCAAAATAGTCCACATTTATCACAAATTTAGTTGGAACCAAAACACTGAAAATGTGTGTATCACAGTAGGCAGAGCCTCACATCATGATTCACTCTGTGGCCATATTCAAGCATTGTGAGCATCAAAACATAATAGTTTGGATTTGATATCCCGCTTTATCATTACCCGAAGGAGTCTCAAAGCGGCTCATATTCTCCTTTCCCTTCCTCCCCCACAACAAACAAACTGTGAGGTGAGTGGGGCTGAGAGACTTCACAGAAGTGTGACTGGCCCAAGGTCACCCAGCAGCTGCATGTGGAGGAGCGGAGACGCGAACGCTGTTCCTCAGATTACGAGTCTACTACTCTTAACCACCACACCACACTGGCTCTAAATCTAGTTGAATTATGGGCTGTGGATTATACAACTGTTAAATTGTCCCCACCACTTGTCCACGCTTCCGTTTGCCCTGCCACTTTCCTCCAGGAAAACCTGAAGTTTACCACTGAATTGGACCAAACAGCAATCGGGTTTTCCCTGGGGAAAGCTGTGGGGCAAACAAAAAACCACTCGGGCCTGTGCTCTCTAGGTGCAGAACAAGCAAGAATGTGGATGAGGCCTTACACAGTACACAAGGCAGTATGGTGTACAAGACACAAACACAAAACGTGTTAAGTCTCTTCTCATAAACTACTGCTCTTCAAACTCGAAACATACTGATGACCAACATTCAGTCCCCACCGAATTATTTCAGTTTCTTTTGGTATAGTTTGCCATAAATTATTACCAAATTAGCCAGGGTTTTTGTTTTTTTTAAAAAAGTCAAAAGGTACAAAATCTGAGCAGCAAAAGGAAGTTTTCTAAGTGACACTTCCTACAACCAAGAACCCAAGCAATAAACTGAGCAATTTGTGGGACATTTTATTTATGCACATTAAATGGACAGCGTATCAATGCAAGATGTACCATGGTAGATGCTGGGCATGAGACCTTCAAATGGAATCAGGGCTTTTTTGTGACAATACTCACTGGTAGAGTACCAGCACCTCTTTTTTTGCTGCCCACAGCCGCCATTTTGTCCTGGCACCCATGACATTTTAATCAGTATGAGAGTACCGATATCTAATTCCCCCACCCCACCTCCCAAAAAGCACTAGCTGCAGTAACGTAGAAATGTGGAATTTGCTCCTTCTAAATATCCATCTTCATTCTTTCTGTGCAACCTTTAAAAACTACTTCAATACAGTTTAAAAAAATAATAATCAGAACATGCTTTCAAAGACCTAGTTTGGTAGCTCTTCCCTTAAAACACAAACATGCGTTTTAAAGGGGGGAGGAGAGAGTATTTTGTCAAAGGTTTTATTCTAATTTTGTTGCATTATGTGTATCATTGTAGCACAGTAGCAGTGTAGAGAGAGCAAGAGAAACACACAAGAAAGGCCTGCATTTTGAGGTAGAAATTGTGTGAAGGGGGAAACTAAAATTTTCCCTGGTAAGCTGCAATTTCACATTCAGCCTGTGTCAACAGTAACTGAAAGTTATTAGGTGTTACATATCAAATTAGTTGACAGTTTATCTATGTCTAGTTAGCCGGGGAGAAGGGGGGCGGGGTTGGAATATTTACATGGCAAAATCAAACTGGCCTTAGTTGACCCCCTGGTATTTGTAGGTATAGCATAAAAAGCAAGCTTTAAATGGAGTATGTAGAACAAACCACCTTTCAGCCTCAAAGAGAAGTGCCAAATTGCCACAGATGGAAACACAGTACAGCTTTTGTTGACGAGGGGGTATCATTCACTCATGCTATCAGTCCTGGATTACCCTAGCACAGCC